CCACAATTCGTCCTGTGAGAACTGAACTGAACTGAACTGAACTAAGCATTAGACGACCGTGAGTTTAGGCGGCAGTTTGAATGTAGCACTGATCGAAACTGTGTCATTTGATCTGGACACCTCTCCATGGGAAATCGTCCAACAACCGCCATTCCGTCTTTAGAGACATTGGGTGAGCTTTCATAAATATATTCAAAATGATGCGTTCATCATTCCGTCTGGATTACGAAAGGATGCTTTGGTCGAAGAATCGATGTTGTTACCTAATTATAGATGTTCAACCATAGTGGAATACGATAAAAATCAGTAAAAATATCTTTTTTCATTTATGTCAATTATGCATCATATTCAGTTTCATTCTAATGATAGTTCCGTGATCCCGTATTCGCGTTAGTATACTAGGCTTGAATATCATGAGCATTCCCTAACTGGACGCCCATAGGACGGTAAAGGAGGTCACTCAGTGGACACTCAGGGGACCGTCAGGTAATGTTCATCCTGCATTGGGGTAGGCACACCTGAATACATTAATCCATTGTCAAATTCGACACGAAATGTACGTATTCATAGGCATTTATTCACATGAACATGTCGCTACCCTTTTTTAAATGTCAATTGAGCATTAACTTTACTCACTCGAGTACGTAAATGTTCAGTTTTTACACATCTAGGGATATGCAGATATGATCATCAAAGTAGAGCTAACATTTTCAGGTGTAGGCTTTTTCATTGAAACAATCGTTTAAGCGTATACTTAATTCCATGGAATGACTCTTATAAAGAAGTAGAAATGCAACATATGATAGAACCGATTTGCGGTCAAACATTGTATACTTTGCTTCTATACGTGCGAATGAAAGTTTGAACCTTGAGCTGATGTCTGATGTCTGATGCAGAGACAACTCTTGAACGATCGTGTAGTTAACATCCAATTGCGTGTTGAAGTCTGTCAATAAAAGTCCGCAAATGTGTTTACAGTGATGCAAATTCATTTACAGATATATCTGGGGATCTTCTAGTGAGCAAGAGCATTTTTTCAACAGGCTATTTTTCTTACTAAAATATGCTAAAAGCAGTTTGGAAAATTTAAACTTAATATTCTTCCATGTTTGTCAGTGCATCCATCGGCAGTGCCATATGATATGTTGAATGACGTGGAGAATAACTGCAACGAGGATAAAGATGGCCACTGCCAAAGATCAGCTCACCGTAACTTTTACACGATGCCGCGCAGACCAACGTTAGACCCAGTAGATGCAATCCTTCACGTTCCTGCTCGCAGTCATCGTAACTCTGGAATATCAGAACAATCTTTCGGTTATGCAATGAACAGCGCTTCTGAACCTGCGAATCTAATGTGCTACATTAACGAAAACATAGTGGGAAGAAATAAAGTTTTCCGCGGTCCATTCGGAGATAGACAGAGTAAGTCTGAGAACATTCGGTTACTAACTGTTGTAGCTGTTTATTGTGATTGGACCGCCTCAGCTAAGTCGTTGTCGTTTATTGAGGATTTCATCAACTCTGAGGTTTTGCCGAACTATGGCAACACTCATACAACTACGAACGTCACTTCTTTGCAAACAACCATGTTTCGCCACGAAGCCAGAGACATAATTCGAAATTCCGTCAGGGCTTCAGAAGCTGACGCAGTTATATTTGTTGGAAGTGGATGCACTGGAGCCATTCACAAGTTGATCCATAATCTTCACTTGGAACAGCCTCCGGTAGATTGCCTACACTTGTCTTTACTTTTCAAAGATAGTTATAGTAGGCCCGTTTGAACATCATTCAAATATGCTTCCTTGGCGCCATCTGGCGTATAAAGTATGTCGCGCCAGCACTGATTCATCAGGGACAGTTTCTCTCGAGTCCTTGGAATCCATATTGAGGGTAAGTGGTTTCCTTAATTATCATAAATGTTTTGCTTTGGTTCTTGTTATTTGTTTCGCGCTATATGCCACCTGAAGCGATTTATTGATATCAAAACTACATTTCCATGCACTTGAGTGGTACAGTGGATTTCGTAGTGTGATGACTGTTCAGAAACGTTGTAGTTCTCTCAAAGACTTTAGACCAAATTTGTTTCTGCATAACAGTCACTTTCTAGTGTCTCAGAAGACCGCCGTTGTTCTCAGTTGAATGAAACATGCTTCAACCCATGTAAATAAAATAGTCAATTGTAAGGAACAATTCCCTTAACCATTTGGTATAAATGTTCATATGCTAATACTTTTCCACTTTGTAGTGATGTTTCAACCCAATTTTTGTTACACATTGTATGTAGTCTTTGAATATCCACTTTGTTAAGCCTTCAGTTAAGAAGCTTGCTGTGCATTCATTTTGCAAATTGATTCGTATATAAAATGTGAACAAACGTTTATCACGGCTCAAATAGAAACGCATGGTGTCCAGCTGCTTCCCGCTCTTGAAAATGTAACTTGAGCTGTTCGTCACCTATCCCAACGAAACTTACATCAGGCACACAAAACTGACATTCTGAACACCACTACGCTAATTTCCAGTTAATACGCTCTATTGACCAATTCACATTGTTAATCGGATATATATCGTCTAAATCCAGACTGTGTGCCGAATATAGCACAACACAATAGTATTTATACAGGGAAAAGTTCCCTGAGTTGCCTGTGGGTGCGATACTTCCAGGTTACCATAAAGCCTTTGGCTAACCAAAGCCTGACCCTAAATACAGCGAGACGGTGTATTCAAGCCACAATCCGTTGGGGTCCGGTGTTCGGTTCAGCAGATTATACACCCTTCGGATAGGGTCGAACGTCCAGGGTGCCAACCACATCTCGAGACCCGATCGAGCCGGTGTCCACCAATACAAGAAGGAAAGTGTAGGTGCAANCCAGCCACAACCTGAGACAATCACCGCAGACCATACTGAGGCTTTTAAGGGCTTAATAATCGAAGATGACCGGGTAAGATGCCCGAGGACGTCAGGTTTTCGCCTTAAAGCGACCTAACTGGCTGTAAAGAGCATTGCGTTGTGCGTCAATTCTGTCCACCATTAAATGAGAACGTCACCGCTATGTTGCTTTACATAGCACAGAGTTAAGCAAAGGCTATAAGTACATTCTTGAAGGAAACTATCGACTGGTACTGTAGATACTCATTTGTTGTATATTCCAGCGTTTCTCCTATTCCATAATTCCTACTAATCACGTAAGGCCTCCGAAATCCTCACTATGGCTGGGGGTGGGTATCTAGGGTTGATGCTGGTCACCCTTTCCTTGCACCTCGTGAAATGTTCCCATACGACCAAGCGTCTCGAATAGCCTCTGCTGAGGAAGCCCTACTCACTGTCTTCTCGTGGTGCAGGTGTTTTCGCACAAAAGTGAGAGGACGAAAAGCCGACATTCGGAGCTATAACCGGGTTTATGGACCACTGGTAGTTCACCTGGGGGAGGTGGCCAAAAACCCTGATTCCAAACCAACCAAGAGGAGGCGTACGAACCACACCCACACCTTTTCGGTTGTGGTGCCCAATTGGGCATTGAAGTGTATTGGGTACCTTGGAAGTTTGACCATATCCGAAGGGCATATGATCCAGTGAATTGGGCACCGGCCCCCAATGGATTGGGGTTTTCTCACACCGCCCCGCTGCCTTGCGAGTCAGGTTTTGGCCAGCCGAAGGCTTTGGTTGGGGATTTCTCAAGAAAATTAACCTTCCTCGGCCTAGGAAGCCTGGCAGTATTCAGCCCACAAGCCAAACACGGGACGTTCTTTTTTATAAAGATTGTTGTACCATGATTTGCTTGGCACACAGTCTGGCGTCAGTGTAAAATGTAATAATCATCACGTAAGAGCAGGTTACTTGAAAGTAGAAAAGTAAGGTGATTCGTGAAGATGCTTAGTGATCAAATATCTGTTAATTATTATAATCCTTACAACTGCAAGTTTTCTGATCTTTATTTTTTTCAGGTGGAAAGTGTCGTTGCTCAGGAATTAGGATGCAAATTGATTGTATGTATGGCTGCAGCTTCCAACGTAACGGGGATCTTAGTGGACGTCAACGCATTTTCTAGTCTAACCCATCGTTATGGTGGCCTTGCTTTTTGGGACTATGCTACGGCCGCTCCATATGTAAAAATCGATATGAATCCAGTAGTTACCGGGTAAGAATGTGTTCTGCGTATAATCTCCGTTCTGGTTCGGTAAAAGTGATATGAAATAGAGTGAAGATTTAGTTATTATAGATTCTGAGTGTAAGCACGAATATTTGGCTGTTCGCCCCCAAAATAGTTTTTTCTCATACGAGGCGTTTAACTTATGAAACACTGCTGAGAAATTAAAGAGTTATGCAGTCACTGATTTAAAGTAATAAAAAGAGATGTTCGGTAATGATTTTACATTTTTCGGTCTACTATTTTGTATTTGGAGTTAGCAAGCTAAAACGGTGCTTGTCTGATAGTGTGTTTGTGTTTGTACGTTTTCTATATACTTTTTCCTATGCTTACCATCGTTCCATCTTTTACCTTTATTTTATCGTATAACGACGAACTACACATGTCCTTCTCGAGCAACACCTCGTCACAAATGTTCTGTGTTTTATAATAATATTGTATTCTGCACATCTATCTTGATCATGGTTTGTTGTTTCTCCTTCAAATAACGTGTTGTTCGTCGCCAGTTTTCATGCATTTCTGTTTAATGTTAGGAAAAACGAACAGGGACTGAATCATGTCGGAATACATTGCTTGCGAAACAGAGAAAAATTGATGATCCACGTCTCGGCAACTTTTTAACTTCTTTTCAGAAGTTTTTATCGGGACATAGAACAAATTTCCCAGAGAAAACTACAGCGCACGCTGTACCAGCTGAACTACGAGGCGACACAAGTATCTGTGATCCTTTCATATTTTGGGTGAATCATTGCACAAATCACCTGTTCTCACATTGCGTTGTGCAGTGGAAACAATGATTGAAGGAAAGGAGACATCGTACTAGAACATTTCTAATCGTCTAAATATCTGCAGTCAACAGAGCAATTTATTTAAAACCAGTGACAGTGTTCCTCCAATTAGCGCTGATTCAACGATTGCACTTAATTCCATATTAAGTAAAGTACTGCTCGAGTTTTGACATCAAACGGGTATTTTATGATTGCATCCGAGTTCAAACCTTGTGCCAAACAAAATTCTTTGTAGCAAATTCATTAGTCAGCGTCTGACTTGCTTTTAGGTGAATAATAAAAGCTTGCCCAGGCCAAAGCAGGCGAATTCACAAACTGCAATCCATTGTTTTCCCGTGTGCAGTTCGGATCATACACCCTTTGGATGGGGTCTAAAATTTAAGGTGCTCAACACTCCTCGATATTCAGTCAAGTCAGTGACCATCGTCACAACCAGCAAGCTGTGGGTGTTTGTGATTCGTACGCCTCTTTTTGATTGGCTTGGAAGTAGGGTTTTTATCAACTCTCTTAGTTGAACTGCAGACGGTTCACCTACCCGGTTATCACAGCATACGTCGATTTTTAGCCCTCTCACTTTTTCGGTAAACGCCTTTATCACGCAAAGGCGGTTATTAGAATTTCTTTATGCGATATCATTTCAGACGCTTGGTCGAAAAGGCATTCCTCTAGGTGCTTAGGAAAGTAACCACAACCCAAGACACCCAACCCCGACCATACTAAGGCTTTCGGAGGTTATTGAGTAAATAGTCGATTTGCAACGCATCGTAAATTTAAATGATAATCTTTCCAGTTGTCTGAATCGCAACCAATACCATAAAATTACGGTATAATGCAATATACTCTTAGCACATAGAAATGATAAAGTTATTCTCTGACTCTGGGCGTTTATTGCCGCTTCCCCCTATATTTCTAGCCAGAAATGGACCGTAACGTATTTCTTTATTGCATTGATAATTAATAATTCTTAGGGTGACCTAAATACTTATATTTTCCTTTATATTCCGATCATTGTTCCGGTTATAGGCAGGCCACATTATAAACGCGGTGGCGAAATTTGTGCATCTATCAACCAAATAAAACGTTTTAAAAATACTATATGATAAATATGCTGTCTGATTCGATACAGAGTTAAATGTGTTACAGTTGTTCATGCACGTTAATCCATATTTTACGTTACATCCCATCTAATTATAGACCGGACCATGATTATGTGTATAAAGATGCTGTGTACTTCTCCATGCATAAATTTATCGGTGGTCCTCAAACGCCTGGAGTGCTTGTGGCGAAACGTTCTCTTTTCAAAGCTGGTGAGGTACAACCCAGCGGATGCGGTGGTGGAACTGTATTCTTTGTGCGTCGTGATGGACAGGTGTATTTAAAGGCATGTGCATTATGTGTTATCATCAATTTGTCAAGCCAAATCTCTTGTAAACATCTGATTATTGCCAATAATGTTCTCAAACCCTTCTCATGTGAGACTAAACATATTCCCTATACCACAAAACTTATTCTATTCCTCAGCACGTTTCACTATGCTCGCGTGATGCATATCTGAAAAATATTCAGTTCTTATTGTGTCATTTTGTTTGGTTTCTTTCCAATAGGTCTCATAGTTGTAGTGATTGAAATGGCTTTTGGAATGGAATGTTCTTCGTCATTCCTTTGATAGTAGTTATTCGATAAGGCTGCTTATGAGTATTTTTCATCAAATTACTCTAAATTCTGATCAGATTAGTTTCGCTTAGACTTAGCACAATATTTTTATCATTTTTCTCTTGACGATATCTTGATGCATGAATGGTGGAGAGCTTTTATCATGACCATCACATGGCGTAGAGGCATGAAGAAACTGGCTTCAACTCTAGCTTCGGTTGGTGCAGCCCGCCTTCCAAGTTGGGGCCCAAGGGATGAGGATTGTCGTTGGTTAGAGACGCTGAGAGATATAGCCCAGAATAGAAGTCAGTGGTGTGAATACTGTACGGACTGTCTGTCAAAATCTCGTGCTCCATAAAAAATAATAAACAAACATGAAAAAATTTCAAAAAGTTTACGGTGAAACATAAAATATTGTTATCCCGTTTATTCGTAATTTTCCNTTCAACAGTTCCGTCGTTTTTCCTATGTTCTGAATCCCAACCTCCTCTTTCGTTACTGTTATTGTTATTATTGTTTGGTGTTGGCACCATGCTTGTCCTAGCTTTTCCGTTCACGCTGCATTTGCTCCATCCGCGACATGATTGCTGCTCTTTGTTAGCTGTTTCNTCCTCATTGCCCCCCGATTTATACTCAATGCCACCGGTTTTATTTTCATATATATATATATATATATATAGTTATCATTTTTTGTTGGCATGGAATATGCTTACTAGCAGAGGTTACTTAAACTATATCGGTAGTATTCTCAAAACTATACCTCCCTGTGTTTTATTATCCTGAGCAAAGATTAGGTGCGATCTGAATTATTATTTTTATTATCGTAGAGTGGAATACAGTGAAACAAACCTTACTGATTACTGTCTTGTCTGCTTCTGATAACGTGCAAAAGTTGTTTAAATTAACATTGAATTTGAAATTCTCTGTTGTTCCACTGCCTGAAAGTGGATAAAGCAGCAAATATCTATGAATAACAAGTCGGATTAACATCGGTTTGTTGAGTTAAATAGCAAAAGAATTTACCTTGCTTTAGGTTCTGAATTGATATCCCGCATTTTACCAAGTAATGATAACCGTTTTCCCGGACCCAAAAGCCACATTTCGTCCCATAATTTACCCAACGTTATCCAGTTCCGTTGTTTATAAGCGCACTTAACAGACTATCAAGGTTTGTTGATCCTTTCAATGTGTACATGTTTAAGACTCCAGCCTGCTTTTTAAAGCTTGCTGGTTGGAAATTGATCATGCTTGACTCGTTCCACCTATACAGTTGCAACGAATGACGATGGCATCATACGCATCCGAGGTTAGGTCGGCGTTTGTGAGACTGTAACGACAGTGCTAGTTCGATGGATTGTATGTGATGTACCATGGTGCGGTGATTTCTGCTTTAANCAATCAAACCCTTGAGTTTGCATGTGAACGGCCACCATGTATTGGTGGAACGGAAAAAGCGAATTAGTTATGCCAAGGAACGCAGCTATCAGAGTTTGATTCAATTTATTTCGCTGTGCGATGTTGATAATAGTCGTATGAAATGATAAATGGTTGGCAATGCCATTTAACGGATTTGGAGGATTGCTTTAATACGTTTGAAATACAGAGGACTAGGTATACTGGCTATACAACCTCCGTTTCCATTCCATTTGCCAACAGAAGCATGATCAATAAGCTCTTCCTCACATGACTTTCCCAGTAAACGAGTCTCTCAGAGCCGATGTTTACTTCCTTTGCTGTAAATCATTTCATTTTCATCATATTTTGTCAGGACGTAGAAGAACGAGAGGAGGGTGGTACTCCAGCCATAGTGGAATCTATTCGAGCTGGTCTGGTTATGCAACTCAAAGAGGCAGTGACATGCGAAGCCATTATGGAACGTGAAGAACTGCACGTCAAGTAAGCGCAGTTGACTGACTTTATGTTATCAGTTTCAGTTTAAACAACCGTTAACCATACAATTTCGTGCGGCGGGTTTTGGCGGCTCATTTTGCTGAGGAAGGAGAGGAAAGATTGGTATGTTGAAAGCAGTCAGTGTGAAAATAGAATCCCTGTAGACGAAGGTATCGAGGACAATGAGTGAATACACGAGCAACACTTTTTACGACACTCAGCCATATCACTCCGTGTTTTGAACCATCGGTTACGCTGATCCTGCGGCTCCTATCCAAAAAACCTAGTGCAACTTAGGTGATGACGGTGGTGGCCGAGTGGTAAAGGTGATCAAATTACCTCCCCGGGAGATGTGTGTTCGGATTCCACCACCACTATCGCCTAACTTTCGCCATTCTGTGTTGTTTGGGAGCCCTTTGATTGGCCGCTTCCCACGTCCTGAAATTGTATCAATATATATTAAATAAAAGGAAGTAAATGGAAAAGAAGAAAGACCGGAAAGGCTCCTGGTCCGGGTTTTCATATCTTCATACCCGGTCTTGAATTAACTACCATTGCCTTTTTCCACCCAGTAGCTACCTCTGCAAATGTTGCACACGGTGGCAATCGATTTAGTGACAAGCGTAACACAAGCCCCATCTACTGTAATCTATGAAAATGAAGCATTTGTTCTACTGGGTGACCACAAATACCTAAAGCACTGTGCTTAGCCTCAGCATTGCTAATCCATCTAATACGACATGTAAATGTCCCGTTAACTCGGAACTATTATTATTGATCTCATGTTAGTAATCGAAACATCGCTTTTCATTAGATAAATTGGAAGAGTAATCCAGACAGCGTTGTGGCGATAAAAACAGGTTAATAAACGAATTAAGTGATTCAAAACAAGCAAAACTATTCATTACGATGAAATATGTTACCTTGGTTTCCCCATCGACATATTTGGTCCGTCCCATCATCTGCCTCAGTTGGTTTGTCACTCCAAGTCCCGAGCTTAGGTTGCTAGCTTCCATTATTGAACAGCATGTCCTCGTGACCATGGGACTTTCCTCGTCTGCCGTTCATCACACTAAGTTATATTATCAAAAAATCTTCCTCCAGGATTTCCTGTATGATCTACACAATCGAGTTTACTGGACAATGTTTTTCCTTTTTAACTCCATGGATTGCTCATATTTGTGTTTCTTCTTACATCATCCCCCAGTGGGTGATTGTTGCATACCTATTTACGGTAGTGCTGATGAGTCTGCTTGTTCAAAATAACTTAAATATTTTTTTCCACGTGTTAATCACTTCTGCTCGTTAAACAATGTGTCCTATCGTTGCATGGTGTTTACCCTTTATTCTGCCTTATCTGGTTTTCGATTACAAAAGTACAGTCAACTCCCCTTTTTGATATTGTAATAGGTTCTCAGCTAACTTGTCCTTACTCATTCTGAATGGTTTTCACCAAATTATTACTGTCCTCTTCGTTCCACAGACGGATCTGGGAACGTCTCGCGGATTGTCGTAATATCATTGTGCTTGGCGGAAAAGAAGCACCTCGTTTGCCCATTATCTCCGTGGTCATTCGTCATCCATACCCCGCCCCAAGTCCCGAAAGCCCGCGATCACCTTGTCTTTTCTTGCATCACAATTTTGT